CTGAATTAATAAGTTGAATAATCAGCTGTAAAAAAATATACATAGGTGAATTAGCCTTACCCACTATAAACAGAATTCAGGCATGCCCACTACCACAGCAAGGGGGAGGGTGTCCAGTGGGAATTCTACTACTGACCTCTTGCACACAGCCCAATAATAGCTGAGGTTTGTTCCAGTCATGTTGTCATGAATGCCACCAATATGTACTGTCAGACCTATTTTGAGTGGGAGAAGAAAGCTGCAAAACTAATTATTTTGCCAACATCTGATAGGGACTTGTAAAGCGCTAATTGCTAGGCTTACGTTTCAGGAAGCAACTTACTTTGTGGTTATTGGTGCCGGCTAATACAAAGACTGTGTGTGATGAATGCACCATTTACAACTGGCATTGATCTGATGTCACCAATGTCATACCAATGTCATTCCAATGTCAGGTTGGTACATGTGACGCAGCTACGCTTTTGCTCATGTCAAATGTATGCACAGCAGTTTGGAAAGTGAAAGTCTTCTTCCCTGGTCACAGCCCCTTTCCATTGTCCTGAGATGATTTAAAAAGTACTTTGAAAACTTTCTTTGTAGAGGGCCCCACATTAGCTCATTGCAGGGAATTCAACTCCTGTATGACTTACAGCTACAAGGCAGACCTCTTAGTCGGGTGCTATTTATAAACAGGGACCCCAGTGCAGCCTGAACAGTACGGAGACCCTGGGCTGGACTGAGGACAGTGGGTGCTTATAAGAATGGCTGTGCCAGTGGGGTCTGTTACCTTCTAATTTTAGCTTCATTCTGATCTGAGAATCTGAGCTGGAAGTCTGGCACTTCTGAATTCTATTTGTAGTTACGGTGTTGAACCCCAGGTCTAATGGTCTACTTCCACCGGATACAAGAGGAAGCAGAATGGGAATTTGAGGCCCTCAGGGTAGAGTCTCAAAGTAAATATTTGTGGGATTCTTATCAGGCTCTGAAGCTTGGGCAATAGCATTACCTATAGTGTAGCATTACCTAGGGTCTTCTGGAATGGCAAGGAAGCACGGAGCACCTGGTGAATGATCAGACCAAAGATGAACCTACTTCATAGACTTGCCACGAGCTATATACAGTCATCACAGAAACTGGAGCACCTGAGGTTCTATAGGTTCAAGAGAAGCTTCCAGAACTTCTGAGGCAGTATTAGAAGAAACAATATTAGAAGAAAAATACACACACTGTATTTCTCAGGTCAAGTGTAAGGGCTGAATAACTAAGACCAAGTGAAAGTCTGTATGTTACTAGGCTGTTCCAACTAATGGTGATCTCAAGCTTTGAAGATGACCCCGCCATGGTGCAAACCCCAGCTCTGCCCCTCCTAGCTCTCAGATGCTCTCTGTGCCAATTCACTTTGCTAAGTTTTATTTTCATACATAAAATGGGGACAATAAATTCCAAATGGCCAACTGCTCTGAGGATGAAATAATTAGCACAAAGAAGGAAGCCAGTGAAGAGAACCTAATGTTACCATCACTGTTAGTACATAAACTATTTTCTCAACATGATGCTTGAAGTCAGTAGTGGGAAGACTGAAAAGTTCACTAAGGTCATTTGCCCATTTCTCCTCTCTCCCAGTCTACAAATAAAAAAACTGGCTCAGAGAGGGTGATGCCCCAGTCACAGAGCTCAGCCACCACAGTTGCCTCTTTCATGCTTTACTTATGTAAATCACCTGCTGTGGACTCCTCAGGAAACTATTCATGGGAATTCTGGCTCCTGGCCCCTCATTATCATTTGGGTGTGGGCTCTCCCTTTCTGTGGAAATAGATGGCTTGGCTTCACATCTCCTTCCTGCAGTTTCAATGGTATTCCACAAACACAGTCATTTGTGATGTCATTGCTCCCATTTCCACCTACCAGATTATCTCTTGCTGATGACTAATGTCCATTCTTAGTCCTCTGGGATCCAATGTTCATGAAAAAAAACAGCCAAAGAGGACTTCGACTTTAACCTCCAATAATGTTCAATTCCAGTAAAACAGCAGGGGGCGGGCAACTGAGCTAAAAATGATGGCTCCATTAACTCCAAGTGACCCCAGAAATCTCTGTATCTTTTAGGACAAATTTTTGTGGGGAGCCAATTTATTTTAAAAGTGACCTTTCCCTCCTGGACTTCAGTAGTTCTATATACTCCAATTTCCAAACTGTGATATATATAATATAATTGAGCTAGAGTCAAAAGACTATATTTCATTATTCATTTATTCATTGAGTATTTCTTGAGCACATACTATGTGCCAGGCCTGTTCTAGGTGCTGAGGTAAAGCTATGAAATATGTGAAATCTGGCATGATTATCATTGCATACGTGGCATTGGAAAAAGAAGTTAGAGAGTCAAAGAAAAGTTGCACATTGAGTAGAAAATTGAGGCAAGTCTCTGGATAATTTTAGCTGCCGTCTCCCAAACCAATCGCCCCCAAAACCTCACTTCAAATTAATCAGTTATTCATTATACTTAATAATCATGATGTTCAGCAGAACTGCAAAAACAGAACTTGAATCATGTCTTTGACTTACTAGTTGGGGATTCTGTGAAATTTCTTCACCATTTTTGGACTTCACTATCCTTATCTGTAAAATGAAATTACTGATACTGCCTGACCCACAGGGCTGTTTTAACCACATGATCTGGTACACACTCAAAACAAAGATTTTTGACCTGAATTATTTAGCTCAGTTGTCTTTACCTCTCTTGGGATTTCAAACACATCTTTAGACTCTTCAGACTTATTTACAGGTGGACAAACAGAGACAAGCTAACATATTCAGGGAAAAGATGATGCCTTCATGAAGATGAGAAATTCAAAAGCCGGGGTCTCTATTGCCTGAGGAGGTCACCAGGAAATACTTTATATTTTCCTTCCCTATCAGCTCTTATGGACATGATTGAGTTGTATCTGAACCATTTTTTTTTAAAACTATAAACAAAGTTCATCAGCAAAGCCAAAGTTTTAGAAAGGAATGGAGTGAGAGTGCACACAGTAACTTCTGCTCCTACATATAGAAATTTCTATATTATCAGCTTTTCCTGATCAGGAGGGATTTAAATTGAGAGGGAGAATTGTCTAATGGAAAATACTGGAAGGGGCTATATTTCCGAGTAAGTTTAGTGGGAGGACTGCAACATTTTCCATCAGAATTAGCTCCTAGATGAATTTCTTAGTAATTTTCTGTTCCTTACTAAAATCTCAGCACTTCCAATAAACACTGTGATTGTGAGGATTTTTATCACATAATGAAAAGGAAGATGATGTATGAGAAAGACACCTTATTGAATTATTTTGAGGATTCAAGATTTAAGTGTCATCCATTAAAAATCTCTACTTGTATATTTTACAGGTGGATGGTTGATTGGTTTACTTTAGACTGTGTACCCCAGGCTGGCCACACACACTGTCCTCCTGCCTCTGCCTCAAGGACTGAGTCCTTCAAGGACTCAGATGTGGGCTACCATGCCCCTAGCCACTGAATCATCTTTATGTATAAAATTTCATAACTAAAAATCCGGTAATACAGTGAGATAATGGCAACACTAACTGATTTGAGTTAACAATATCTTTAGGAAATTCTGGTCTTGGAATTGAAAATTCCATTTTTTTCCTCTCTCAAGAGAAATGTATTTATTACTATTTGCAGAATGTGTGACAGTTCTAAAATACTGGCTTTTTCTTTGGTCTCTCATCTTGGCAGTCTTCGATATTTTCAGTCCTGAGTGGTTGATTACCAAGCAAGGGAGAGCCCAGTGTCTAGGACACTTGGGCAAGTAAGTATTTCTTAGTCATATCTTTTACTGACATTGCCAGTTCCTTTTTCTTGAAATTAATACATCCTCTCTGAGACCTAAAGGAAAAGATGCTTTTGAATCATTCAGGTTTAAGCAATTTTCTTACACACACACACACACACACACACACACACACACCCCACTCCATCCTCCCCTCCTGGCTCTCTGGTATAATTTCTGACTTTCAAATGTGCATCCCAACGGAGAGATACGTGTAGCGTGAAGTGTCTCTTTTGAGCCGCTCCAGTGCTCCAAGCATCTCAGCTGCCAAAAGCCAGTAGAAGTGATTGAGAAATCCCTCAGGGACCAGTGCTTCCCCTAAAGGTCTACAACTTCGCACTCCATCCCTCCTTCTGCCCTCCCCTCTCTAAATCCCGGGGTAGCCAGGAGCGCCAAAGTCCCCGCCCCTTTCACTGCCAAGAGCCGTTCTTAACCTTTTTTGGGCCGGGGACCTAGGAAACCTAAGGACCCGCTGGGGATGGGGGCAGAAGTTGGAGGAAAGGACAGGTTTAAACTATTGCGAAACTTTCAGTAGACCACGGATTTGAAACACAACTCGAACCACAAGATTAAGAACCGTGTCTCTAAAACTTTTGATTTAGGGCGATTAAATCACAGCGGAGCTCAGGTGCCACATCCTGTCCCGAGTGTAGGACCGGGAGGCATTCCAGCCGCTTTCACTTGTGAGATCCGAAGACAAGAGCTGGTGGAAAGAGATGGGGACAGAAGAGAGAGCGAAAGAAAAGGAAAAGGAGAGACATGGGAAACAGAGGGCACAGTGGGAAGAGGAGAAAAAGAGAGACCACGGAGAGAAGGGCCAGAGACACCAAAGGAAGCGGCATAAGACCAGGCTGGGGGACAAGAGAAGGAAAGGGCCGGGGGCTGTGCGCGCCAGCAAGCCGAGAGAACTTTCTCTGCTCTCTTCCCCAGGAAAACACGACCTCAGGGAGGTAGCGCAGCCAGCGATCGACTGTCCAGGCGAGGACGCCTCTGGCCGCCTCCGCCTCTTGTAGCCGGCGGGGCCTCTGGCTGGGAGTCCCTCACGGCCAGCCGAGGAGGGGACACGATCTGGAAGGAGGCGGGCCGCGCTGCCTGGCTTTCTCCTCCCCTCTCCTCCTCCTAGAGGCGTGCACCGGGGGTATTTGAGCGGCAGAGGACCCGCGGCCCCCGCGGCCCCCCCGCCCTCCAGGCCCCCCATTCAAGAAGCCGCTCCGCTATCCCGGCCAGCACAGGGCGCCCCGGCGCGCCTCGGAGCGCACGTCCCGCGCCTTCTCCAGCCCGTTTGCTGGACATTATGCGTCCAAGCAGCCGAGCCCCAGTCCTCCTCCTCCTCCGGCTCCTCCTGCGGCCCGAGCCGCTCAGCTCTCGGCAGGCGGCAGCGTTGCTCAGCCGAGCGCAGACGGGACCCTCACCGCAAGACCTCAGCGACTCCTAAAGTCAAAAGTTGGCGGCCGGCACCCGGCTCCGCGCGCTCTCCCACTGCCGTTGCCTTGCGTCGCCGCTTCAGCCAAACCCCGCAGGAGGGAGGGGGGGTGGGGACAGGGGGGAGGGGTGGGGAGCACCATGCAGTTTGTATCTTGGGCCACACTGCTAACGCTCCTGGTGCGGGACCTGGCCGAAACGGGGAGCCCAGACGCCGCGGCGGCCGTGCGCAAGGACAGGCTGCACCCAAGGCAAGGTAACGAGGATCCTCACCCCGAGACCCCCACTCCTTCCTGCCGCCATTGCCGCCTCCCCAAAGTCACTCTCGGGTGGGGGCACCCTGTAGCAGAGGCCTCTCTCCTTTTCCTAGAAAGAATCACCTCCCGCTTTGGATCCTCTTCTTTCTCTGGGTCATCTGGGAAGAGAGACACTGGGAAGGAATTTAGTTACCCCCAGTCCGCTTTTAAGCTGATCTTTCCCTCTCCCCACCCCCACGTCCCAAATTAAAGTTACTTAGTAACTAAGGTCACCAGCTAGGGCGCGTTTTATTTTATTCAGGGTATGTATCAGGATCTGAAAATATCTTTTGTATCTTGACTTGTTCATTGTCTGACTTCCAATAGTGTATCCTCAGCGCCTAGCATAGTCCTTGGCTGTTACTATTACATAGTAGGTACTTAGTAAATATTTATCCATTGATTTAAGGGGAAAGGGATGGGCTCGAATGGGTTGGAAAATCAGTCAAAACAAAGCCTCCTTCTTTTAAATTAAAACTTGCGGGAAAACGAATCCTAAACTCATATACCTCTGCTTCTCTCTGCAGTGAAATTATTAGAGACACTGAGCGAATACGAAATCGCGTCTCCCATCCGAGTGAACGCTCTCGGAGAACCCTTTCCCAGGAACGTGCACTTCAAAAGAAGGCGACGGAGCATTAACTCTGCCTCTGACCCCTGGCCTGCCTTCGCCTCCTCCTCCTCTTCCTCCTCTACCTCCTCCCAGGCGCATTACCGCCTCTCCGCCTTCGGCCAGCAGTTCCTATTTAATCTCACCCCCCATGCCGGATTTATCGCTCCACTGTTCACTGTCACCCTCCTCGGGGAGCCCGGGGTGAACCAGACCAAGTTTTATTCTGAAGAAGAAGCGGAACTCAAGCACTGTTTCTACAAAGGCCATGTTAATAGCAAGTCAGAGCACACGGCAGTCATCAGCCTATGCTCAGGAATGGTGAGTGGGCGCGTGCCCCCTTCCCTCCCCTTCAGCCTCCTGGTCAGCTCCGTTAAGACTTAATTGCTCTCTGGTCTGAACACCCGCCCTGCACCCAATCCCTTTCTGGCATTAAATACGAGAAACTTATTTAGGTCCCTAGGTTTGGGGAGGCTACTAGCTCTCTGAGTGCGCTTACGCTGGCCAGGAGCGCACGCCTCGTCCCCGGAGGGGTGTGGATGTTTTGAAGCTTTCTAGGGGGCCGGATTCGGCTCAGGTGCTCGAAGCTCAACGCGCTAAAGCAGCTTGGAAGTCGGTTCCCAAACTCGGAGAAAGTTGCTGGAGTTGTGGTTTCTTGCAGCAAACTTGGCCGCCCCGGAGCGGAGCCGCCGAGCGCAGGGCGGACCCGACGCCTCATTGGCGCGTCCTGAGTCGGGGATGTGAACTGACAATCCCCAGGCACTGGTACTGGGAGTTCCTTCCGAGTGGGTTGTGGACGGCTGTGTGTAATCTAGATTGACAGGGAGCAGGTCCCGTCCCAGGAACTGAAGGGTGGGCCCAGGGCGTTGAGGGCGGGGACAGAAGGCGGAGCTTGCCTCAAACGCTGCGATTTAGGGTGGAAGCAGAGAGTAGGGGTGCAGCACAGTCCGACTCTGCACCCTGCTGGCGGGGTGGCCCAAACCGCAGGAATAGTGGAACAAAGTCTGGATAGGTTGCCCGGGGGTGATTCCGGTTCTTCTGGGACCCATGGCGGTTCCAAGGAGTAGGGAGAGGGAATCTTCAACGTTCGTTTCCTTAGGGAGGGAAGGCGGGGCGGGTACCACCCTACTACACCCTTGGCGGGGGGGAGGGGAGGGGAAATCCAAGTTGGTACCCCGACCCCCTGCTTCCTCATCCCTCCATTTGCCCTCTATTAGGTCTAACAGGGCATCCTCCCCCTCTTCCTATGACATGTAAGGCCCGATGTAAGGTTCTGGCCCCAACGAGGGTGGTCCTTGGCTTTGCAAGCGACGTGCGTTTCTACCACGCGCGTATGACGCAGAAACTTTCCCGCGACTGGCTCTGCTAAGCTCACCGCGCCGCGCAGGACGCTCAATAGGGTGTCAACCCCGTGCCTGTGATGCGTTTACTTTTCCCCTTGAGCACCCACACTCCCCTCATGACCTTTTCCAAGTGGGGGCTTGGGGGTACTCACCCTTGGCGCTCAGTTATCCTCTTCCCGCGCTGCCGTTCTTGGGTTTTAAATTCCAGGTCTGGATGTCGCATCCTTCGCTTCCCAAGGGAAGAATGGAGTCGGGAGCGAGCCAAGCCTAAAGACTGGGATTGGGGAAGTCTAGCGAGGGGCGGGGGATACAGGGAAGAGGATGAGCCCCTTTGGCCCCCAGCTAAACGCGGGGAATCGCGGCGCGCAAAGCTCCTTGCTGAGATTGTTTGAGGATAGGCGGAGACCGCAGTTTGGCGAGGGGGAGGGGATGATCTCACTGGGCTGAGATTAGGGCCTGGACACTGAAATCCTTCCGGTCTTTGAAAGGTTACGCCTAGGTGAGAGAATAGAAATCAGGTGTCTGAGCCCAGTCGATCAGTTCAGAGCACCTCTAGATTTCAGGATAGTAACCCTTAAATTCCAGAACTTTATGGATTAGGATCCGTGTGTACGTCGTTTGTAAACAGTCTTTACTCCTCCTATCTCCCCGCCTCCACAGTTGTATAAATATTTTGCTGCGCAGGACCTTCTTTTCCATTGATAGTTTTAGGGGGTAACGCACATGTGGGCTCTTTGGGAACTGAGAACCCAGGCTTCGGAAACTACTGTCCGGACTGTGATAACCCCACTTACAAGGCATTTCATTTGTTGTCTGTCTCATTTAGAGAAAAGGGCTTGTTTGCATCTTAAAGCTAAGCGCGCTGGCTCTTTCTACCTTCTGCTTCTAATCTAGTTCCAACCCCCTGCTCATTTGTCTTCCTTTTGGAATTTTTCTTTCCTCCCAAGACTTCTCTTTCTTATTTCTGCAGCAGTCGCTCGCTATATCATCGTGTTTCTAATGCTTCACTCAGGAAATCTTTCACTCCTTGGAGAGGGCCTAGCCAAACACCCCTCTACCCCACCCATCCTCCACAAGTCAGTTAACAATTTCGGGCTGAAGTCCATCTCAGATACATGGCTCACCTGTGCAGAATATCCCCACCGCAGCTCTCCTGTCTCTTGCTCTCTCATTAGGACCTTTTACCAGGCATCTTCTCCTCCAGTCAGGAACGGCTTAATGATGACTGGGCCAAAGATCACACTGCCAGCCTGTTCCATGCTTTGCATAGCTCCGCTTTGCCTAGTGAACCACTACAAACTTATTAAAAACCACTTACACTACATCCCTTCTCCTGACTCACAGTCAGAGGCCCTTGAAACCCTGTATTTCAGGCAGTCTGCTTTGTGCTCCTCTTTCTGAATTCCTTCACTCAGCTTCCCGTGCTCAAAATATATCCTTCTTGTAAACTGTTGCTTTTGTCTCCTCTTCCCAAGGTGACCTTTCCATCATCCTCCAGACAGCTGGTATCACTCCTGTACACCTTCAGAGACACTGTGTCTCTCTTATGATGCTTATCACATTCTTTTCCCTGTGTTACAAGTCTTAACACACATGCTCTGTTACTCTCTTCTTAGCAGCAGAGTGAGCATCAATTCATTTCTCTCCCACATTAGATCCTTGAATATTGTGTGTACTTTGTTTTTCTTTGATTGTTTATCAGTACTAGGGTTTGAACTCAGGGCTTCATGCTGGCTAAGCAGGTGTTCTACTTCTTGAGCCACACCTCCAGTCCAATTTGCTCTGGTTATTTTGGAGATAGAATAAGATAAACTATTTTGTCTGGGTTGGCTTTGAACCTCCATCCTCCTCATCTCAGCCTCCCAAGTAGGTAGGACTATAGGGCTGAGCCACCAGCACCTAGCAGTATGTATACTTAAATAAATGGTCCATCTTAACCAAGAAGAGATGAGTCTTGGGCTCAGCAATTATTTCTGAATAGACAGCAAAATTAATGTTGACACCAAATGGTGGCCCTCTATTGAATGCTGCTGGGCTGCAGTAAGCACTTTACATGTGCATCGTGTCATCTGCATCCTCACAACCAACGCAGTCCTCAATGCAGTGCATTTTACTGACAAGTATACTGAGGCTTTGAGAGTTAAAGTCTTCCCCAAGGCTTCACTACTGAGAAGTAGCAGAGCTGGAATTCTACCCCAGTCATTCTGACCTGTCCTCCTTACTATGGGCCAGAGACTACTTCTGTGCTTCTAAAGAGAACTCCGGAGTTCTTTTTTTCAAAGACATTGAACTAAAGTCAGGATCCTGAGTTCTAGTCTCACGTTAGCACTGTCCAGCTGCTTCTGTACCACCCAAGGAGAACTTTGAACAAGTCCCTTCTTTCCTGTGCATTGGTTTTTCCCTTTTTCAATCACAAGTGGCAAATGTTCAACCAGCTGCACTCCCAGGCTCTTCCTCCATGTTTCTGTCTCTGGTAGACTTCACATAGTGTGGTAAGGGTTCTATATTGGCAGCAGAAAGAGGTGCCTACATGAGAATGAATGTGTTAAACAGTATCTTCTTTGGTGACCAGGCACTCTGAATTACACTACACTATAGCTGTCTTCTCTTTGAACCAGTATCCCCTGAATCATGAGGGGAACTGTTTTAATAATACAGATTCTGGACCATACCTCTAGAAATTCTGAATCTGTAAATATAGGATGGTGCCCCAAATCTAATTTTATAAAATCCCAGGTCATTTTGCTGCTACTGGGATTTGGAAACCAGTGCTTCCCACACTTCAGCATGTGGAAAGCATGTCCTGATGCCTGGGTCCCAGGGATTTTGATGTAGTCCATCAGAGGTGGGGTGGAGCACAAATATGTGAATTTCTAAGCAGTTCTGGATGATATTGATGCTGGTGCCACCACTGACACTTAAGGACAGTCATTTCTTCTGTGCCCAGGGAAGGGTACAGGATTCTGGTTATTTTCCAGTATGGGAAATGACAGTGAAGAAGAGCTACATCTTTTCCTCTTAAACACCCGCCACTGGCATGAGATGGGGCCCTTTTTGTATACTTAAGATGTTTGCTTTGAGTAGCTGATCCTGGAGGCACCATTGATCATTTGTAGAACATGAAGGGATGTGGGAAGCGAGGGGGAAAGAATGGACTATTTCAAGGTGTGTAGAATGACTGGTAAAAGCAAATTGCATCCTGATGGCTGGAGACTTAACACTAGCAACACCAAAACCCACTAATTGGTTCTAAGCCCAGAGAAGGGGTCAGGCACTTTGCTAAGCACTTGATTTGCATTATCTCATTTAATCTGTACAATTACCCTCTTCAGAAAACATCTTTATCTCCAATTGGCAAACAAAAATCCTAAATCTTGAAGCAGTTTAGAAACTTGCCTGTGGTGGGTGGGTAGGTTGGTGTCCTGCTAGGACTGGATGTTGGGTAGTCTGACTCTGAGGACACTTGCATAATATTATTCCCCTTTGCAAAGTGAAGAAGAAGTAAAAGAACCATATGCCAGTTTTATAGTGGAACCACCTTGAATGCATTGTGGTCAACCTATGCCTCTTGAACTTGAATCAGTGAGAAGATTTCAGCTGACCAGCTTTTCCCTCTACAGCTCACAGTTTGCCCCTAAGTTTCTGAGTAGCATGAACACCCAGAAACCCTCTCTTCCAATAGCCCATAGGAATAATAGGATTGGAACTTGAGCACCAGGGAGAAAAGATAGATTTGGATAGCATGTACAATAAGCTGGAGTCAAATCACAAATAAGGTATGAAGATGGCAGAAAGAGAAAATAAACCACTTCTCTGCATATGTTGCAATCTTTTTCAGCTTAAGTAGTCCCTTGGGAAAGGAATTGACTAAAATGGCCCCTCTCTACTTGGAATTTTCCCACTGCTTTTTTCCCCTGCTTCATTCTCAGAGTTATGTGAAATCAACCTCTCATTTCTCTTCATTTGCAGCTGGGCACATTCCGGTCCCATGATGGGGATTATTTTATTGAACCGCTGTTGTCTGTGGACGAACAAGAGGATGAAGAGGAACAAAACAAACCCCATATTATTTATAGGCGCAGCACCTCACAGAGGGAGCCCTCCATAGGAAGGCATGCATGTGACACTTCAGGTATTTGTTTTTTGCTTACACAGAGATCCCAGCTCTGAGATGGGTTCAGTACCATGCATCAAAGCTATAGCTCTTTTGCAGTTTACAGAGCAAAACTTGTGGTTTATTCAACCCTCCAGTGAGGTAGGTACACCCCCTGTAAAGATGTGGAAACTGCAGAGAAGTTTAGTGATTTGTCCAAGGTCTCACAGTTAAGAATTTACAGAATTGGGGTTCAAGCTCAGAAATCAGAGACTCCAATCCTACTATGGACAGAGCTACCACTTCAAATTACTAAGTTTTAGGACTAACTTGAGTAATTTCTTTTCCTTATTTTTTATTTCTTTGAGACAGAGTCTTGTTATGTAGCCCAAGCTAGACTTTTATGATTCTTCTTCCTCAGCCTCCCAAGTGCTGGGATTATAGACATGGACCACTCTACTCGGATTAAGTTTGAGTAATTTCTTAAGGCTGTGATGGTGGTATCCTAACATCAGAAATTGTATTTTCTTGGTGTCTTCTATTCATGTGTTTTTGATGCAGTGGGCATTTTACCATGTAATCTTACAAAAAGAAGGTCTTACAAATAGAACTTACCAAAACTTCTGTGTTTATTGGAATTTCTCCCACCAACCTCGGTTTCCCTAATACCCATTGGTTTCAGGAATATAGGAATAGCCCTGTGGATTGCAATGCTAGTTACCTATTAAATCCTTCTACCTAGATTTTCTTCTGTTCCCAACAGACTGTTGGAGGCTTTGTGCTGGCATGTTGCCCATTGTCAGGTGTACCTCATTCTGGGCACCTTGGAAGGCTTATCTCTGCTTTTCTGTGTTTCTCATTCTGTATTCTTACAGTGACTTTCACTGTTTCCCAAGCCTGTCTACATGATGATAGCTTCTCATGAGAAATCATCCCTTAGCTTGGTTCTGTGTTTTAAGATGTATGTTGAAATGCTTTTTGAAAATTCGTGGATTTTTTGTTTCTGGAATCATGTCTATTCTTTATTTTAAAAATTTGCTTCAACAAATTAAATAGCTTCTCAGAGTCTTTCTAGTATCTCCATACAAGACCAAAATTCCAGAGCAATGGAGTTTCTTCAAATGTTTCCCAAATGACTACTGATTTCATCTTCTGTCTGTATAAGATTGTTCCATTGTGACAGCTTGGGGTGACCTCTTCCCTCTTGGAGGTGTTATTTCTAAAGTAAATTCTTTAATGAAAAATAACATCAGGTGCTGAAAACCTGGAAGCAGCCAACTCTCAGAGTGTAGCATTGTAGGTCTTTTGCCTTTTTTGTATCCAATGTGGTGCTCTTACCACCAGGGCTAGATAGAACACAACTAAAGTCCTTACAGAGTTGGGACAGGGTGGGTGCACTCAGAAATAATAGTTTCCAGTATCTTGGGGAATGTTAAAATTATCAGCAGCTAAGAGGTTTATTGGTCAAGACACTGGTCACATTTGGTTTTTGGCCACACTAGTAAGATCATTAACCTCTACTTTTTTGACCAAATCTGTACTACTAAGTACATTTTAAAATATATGTATAAATGTATGTGGAGCATGAGATAAAAGGCAATATGTCATTTTCCTTCTATCGTAGTACTACTCTACATTCAGAAGACTATGAAATAATATTTTCACTGATTAATTCAGTGAACAGTGGTACATTATGATATTCTTCTGCCCCAAAGGGGCTGCAGATCATTGTTTTATCATTGTCTTACTGTGTATCAGCATTGTATCTATCAGTGTTGTGTAAAGCATGTTACCTACACTATTTTGCTTCATCTTTACCACAAACTTACAAGATACATACCTCTCTTACCTGCATTGTATCTGAAAAAGAAGCCAAGGCTTACAGAGATGAAGTAACCCGCCCAAGATCTCACAGCTCACCCAGAGAACCCACACTTGTTTGCATTTCTCCAGAACCCATTTTGACTGTGTAGGAGTGAGTACACGTGGAGCCAGAAGTAGGGGGTGGGGAGGGGATAGAAAGGCGTATCACTATCATTCAAAAAAGGAAAAAAAATCCAAGGCGCATTTTGACAAGTGAATTACCCAAATTAGTAGACACTGGTTTTACTGGGCTAGAGGACATGACAATGATATTGTCAAACCCTGTAAAAGACATAAGGAAGAAAGAATTTTTTAAAAAATGTGAAGATTGATGGTGATCAGTGGAAGATGCCTTATTTTTTTTCACAAAAGTTTGGGCTCCGGTTGTTATTGAAATTGGTGCCACCTTCCAAATCAGCAGTGCCAAGATTTAGTTTTCATTCAGGTTTTTACTTGTCAGTGACCAACATGGCGTGTGTTTCCTTCACCCTGTGTGATGAATCAGGAGTCCGGCAGTTTAGACCGGCTCTTCCAAAGTTTGCTGCTGGACTACGCCACTCTGGTTTCTCTCTTCCAGCTGCTTCTGCACCCCTTCTTTGAATTCAGATGCAGGAGGCTCAGAACAGTTGGAAAGAACTTTGGAATATGGCACAATTCACCAGCACCATTAGAGGGACGGATCAGCAGGTCATGGAAACTCCGACACCAGGTAGCCTTTGCGTAGGGAGCAAACGTAGTTTGGGGGTGGGAAAAGTCCCCCTGACCAGAAAGGAAAAGGGCCACCTCTACTGGTCCATTCAGCTTTAGTATTTTCCCTCTCAATCAAGAGCAATGGTTGGTCACCTCCAGTAAACCTAAGGAGTACCTTGGTTGCTTCATGCAAATGTAGGTTCTTTTGCAACAAGCTGATCTATCTGTCAGGTGTATGTGATGGAGCCAGAATCCATGGCTTCAATAAATACTCCAGGTGATTCAGATGTTCAACTGAATTTGCAAGTCACTGATGAAGTTAAGGCATCATGTATGCCTCTGCACTCTCTGTACTTGACTTTCTATGACAACAGCAGAGTAGGCTGATAGACTATTTCAGCTGGAGGGAACCTTAGCAGTCAGGTCTAGTGTAGCACTTCTTTTATACACATGGGAAAATTGAAGTTTCAGGGTGTTAAGCTTGTTGCTTATTTCTATGAGCGATACCCTATATTCTCTGTATATTCAACACCACCTGTCAGAACTTTCCCTAGCCCAAGGCTGGCCCTGGAAGCCCCCTGCTGAGCTAAGGGTAACCCTTTAGTTGCTAGACTATGGGAGCTGGAGAGGAGGGAGCAGGCTGGCTGTTGCTGCATACAGATGGAGTATAACTCTTGTTCATCTGATTTTTTTTTTTATTTACTTTACATCTGATTCTTGATGTAGGTCTAATTCTCAGGAAAAGTTTCTGAAAGAACATTAAAAAGTCATGTGGAGAGATGTAATTATAATTTCATGGGTTTGCAAAGCAGTCTACAACTTTGTGTATTCATTCACTTGTTCATTTATTCATTTGACCATTCAGTTTTTATTGTGCAACTCCTCTGTGCCGTGAGGTTGAACCAGGAACTGTCCTTATTCTAGTTAGTTGTGCGAACTCAAGCACATTTTAGCATATAAGTTAAAACTGTTCCATAATCCCAGTTACTCAGGAGGCAGAGGTAGGAAGATCACCATCAGAGGCTAGCCTGAGCCAAAGTGTGGGGCTCTATTGAAATTCAAACTAAAAGCAAAAGGACTAGGGGCATGAGTCAAGTGGTAGAGCTCTTACCTAGCAAGCAAGAAAAAAAAAAGAAAGAAAACATAAGATAAAATAGCATGCCCTTTCCTTTCCATGATTGTATTTAGAACTAAGTATAAAAGAATGGACACTCTCGGGGTTCAGCAGATGGCAGATATTCATTAAATGGTAGATTTTTTTTTT